AGCGGTACGCGGGGAGAGAAGGGGACAACTGCACGCTCTCCAAGAGGGAGTTCCTGGCCTTCATGAACACCGAGCTGGCTGCCTTCACGAAGGTGAGGCTCCCCTCGCATGCTTCCAGCCTGCGGCACAGCAATTACAGCCTCTGACCCCCCAAGCAGTGGGGGTGGGCTCGCCACCCCCTTAAGGGCTCGCTCCCACCTGAAGCCGGACAAGCCGGCCCGAGAGGATTCTGCCGCCCTTTGCCGCTCGCTCTGTGCTGGTGATGAACCGAAGGCTGCAGCTCTGCCTGGGGCTGGGGTGTTCAGCGTGGGGCACCTTTGCCTCGAGGCAGATGTTCATCACCACCCCTTTGGTCTTTTGCAGAATCAGAAGGACCCAGGTGTCCTGGACAGGATGATGAAGAAACTGGATCTGAACAGTGATGGGCAGCTGGACTTCCAGGAGTTCCTGAACCTCATCGGGGGCATTGCGGTGGCCTGCCACCAGAGCCTGGTTGTTACGGCCCCAACCCCGTGAACGTGCCTCAGACAAGACCGATGCAGAGCTGGAAGCAGTGCCTTTAAGATGGGGACATCCCCATTCCTCTTTTTTATGTATAAAATAAAAGGTTGAAATACCCAGTGTACGTCATGGCTTTATTTCAGCATTGCGAGGGAGGGGAAAGCACTGGGAAAGCCGTCCAGCCCCAGGGGGAGCAGGCTCTCTAGGCCCTACCCTCCGCTTCTCCACTGATGCGAGAACGCACGTGTTCTCGTCCTTCGCCCTGCGGAATCTACGACCGCCTGGCTCTGGACATCCTCCAGCCTCAGCCTGTCCAGTGCTGCGGGGAAAGGTATATTACAGGGTGCAACTACGCGAGGTAAATGCAGAGACAGGAGCATTACCACTAAGGATAATCTGAGTACTGGAAACTGCAGTTACACACTAACACTGAGCAGAAGCAGCCCCTGCTAGCACGATACGTTATTTCAGGACTACAGCCTCCATTTTCTGGAGATTTCAAAAACCTCCAAGTTTGACAGGTTAAGAGTGAAAAAAGGAAGTTAAACCCAAGCTCCATCTCTAAAGCTGAGCTACAAAACAGGAAGATGGTCAATTTACTTTATTCATGAGAGAAGCTGATTATTTTGAGAAGCATCGCTAGGACAACAAAACAGGAAGTCAACACTAGCACTTGAATGCTGAGCTGCTCTCCTGCTGCCTCCCAGGGGCACAGAGCTGCCTTGGAGCAGGAACAGGCTCTGTGCTGGCCCCAGTTCCAGACAGTGCTGCAATCCCGTGACAGCCAGGCTCAGCTCTTCCCACTGCCCAGGCTGCAGTAGGGCCTTCGAGCCATTTTTCCAGGGGCCCAGTACAAAATGATGTAAGAGGTGTTGCCGCAACTCCAGCAGTTTCTACAGAGCACACTGTGTGGTAACCAGGCTCAGGAAGAGCCACCCTTTACCCCCTGGAAAAGATCTGCCTCGAGACAACGGTATGTAGAAACTCCACATCAGCAGGATCTGGAAACAGGAACACAAGTTGCTACTACGTGGAAGCAGCCAAGAGTGTCACTACAGCATCCCTGGGCCGGGAAGAGGAGGTAGGACACAGTACGGGTGTGGCTATGGTGAAGAGGCTACACTAAGGGCTGGAATGGTGGGAGGTGAGTTTCCACACTGCGCTGTGAAATGAGACCGTTTCCCTCTGATCTCACACCTCCCCAGGACAGGCATGTCCTAGCGGAACTGGAGCGGGCTGATGCGCAGCCCGATGACATCTTTCCCAATCTCCGTCACCTGAGGAATAAAAGGGAGATGATTAATGCTTAATGCCTTTTTTATAAGGGCCTGTAGTGACAGGACAAGGGATAACAGGGTTAAACGGAAAGAGGGAGATGAAGATGGGACATCAGGAAGGAATTCTTCCCGCAGAGGGTGGTGAGGCACTGGGACAGGTTGCCCAGAGAAGCTGGGGATGCCCCATCCCTGGGAGTGTCCAAGGCCAGGCTGGATGAGGCTTGGAGCAACCTGGGCTATGGAAGGTGTCCCTGCCCATGGCAGGGGAGGGGGCTGGACGATCCTTAAGGCCCCTCCCAACCCAAACCATTCTGTGATGCTATGATTAGCAACTCAAAGGCCCAACCCTGTGCAGGTTCTGAGCCTAGACAGGTCTTGTGAACACAGCTGCTGATCCTGCCACGTCAGTCCCTGAAGGCAGCCCTTACACTACACAGCATTTCGCAATTCCCAGACTGTTCCACGTGCCAAGTCCCACGACATTCAACTTGACCCAAAACCTACACCAAGTTAGGGGGGAGCTGCTGGAAGGGATTCTTAAGGGAAACATCACGGGCGGTAGCAGACGCTGAGACTCCCTTACCATAGTGACGCGGCAGATCTGCCCGTGGAACTCGGGGCAGTAGCAGGCTCCGCTGAGCGGACACTTCTCCACAGGTTTGCCACGATAGATGGGTCGGTAAGAGGCAGCACAGATGTCAAAGGGGTTGTGCATGTCATAGTTGAGCTGGTAGGTGTCAGTGGGATTCTTTTCACAGGCTGACAAGATCTTGCGAGTCTGCAAAAAGCAACCATGTCGATGAGGGGGGCAGCTAGGAAGCCAACCAAACAGGGTCTGCCGCAGCAGCCGTTTCTGGCCATGCGTCTCACAGACTTACCTGCTGGGCCACCTCAGGCTTTGGACCCAGCTCCAGCAGCCGACGGGCAAAAGTAGCAGCTGTCTTGAAGTTTTTAAGTTTGAAAAAGAGGTTGAGAGCAGTACGCAGCACCAAGATCATGTGGACAGGCTGCAGGTTGGAGTGGGTGAAATAGGCAGCCATCTGTATTGGGGAGACGGAGGGAAAGCAGGGATACAATCACTACCAACCACAGGAATAACTGGTCTCATAAAATGCTGGAAGAAACCCCTCCCAGGAAATCACTGCCACATTTGCTTTACAGGAGGAAATGGCAGAATTCAGGATTCCCAATGCCTTTTTAAACCCAAAGGCTACTTCCCCCTCCTAGCAAAGAAATTCAGTTTCTGTACCTCGCAGATGCGCTTCTGCTGCTCCAGGGTCTCTTTGGGCAGCTTCTTCCGCTCAGTCTCCATCGAGAGCCCTACAATATACTCCCGGCAAATGGCTATCAGCTGCTGGGCCTTGCAGAGAGGGAGACAGAGTCAGGCAGTGGGCCTCCTGCCCCGTGGGCAGGCAGACAATGGGCAGAGGAGTCTGCCCCTCACCTCAGCAATCTCCTGCTTGTTGTCCACCACCAGCAAGGGCACGCTGAGCAAGATGGAGCGGAACTTCTCCACGGCCTCCTCAAACTTGCCAGCCGTAGTGAGCTGGTAGCACAGCTGCAGGCGCTGGATCAGGTCATTGAGTTTCAGTCCGACGGCAGGGAGCGCATTCTTCAAGCCAGCTTCTTTCCTGGGTGCACCAAAGAGGGATTGGGGTTACAAACGGGACCACTGCAGAGGCCAACAAGAGCATACACGTCCTCACCTCAACTGCAACTTGTCAGAAATGTTTTGACCTAGGGCCATGCTGGTTTTCTCTATCGTTAGTTTAGCAGAAAAGACATCTCTGCTTCCATAATTCTGCCACCCACAATGCCCAGTGCTCTGCTTTAGCGTAGGCTGTAAGTCTGGTGGCTTCCAGGCACCACTGTAAAAACAAACGTGTGGTTCTCTAGATGCCTCAGACCAGCTTTGCTAGAGGTAGAGTGTGAGTACTAGAAAATGCAACATCCCAAATGCCTCACCCTGGGTTTAGTCTCTAAAAAAAGAAAAATTAAAGCGGCTCTTTGACATCTTTACATCTAACAGCAAGCAGCAGAAAAATCCCACTGAAGACAGAATGCTCCCTGTAATATCCAGCAAAGAAGGCGGCTCCTCTCTTCCCTTCTCAACCGAGGGAGGAAACGTTGCTGGCTACAACGGTCAAGGAGCCTGGGAGGTACATGGCACAAGAGAAGGAGCACAGAAGAGGAGCTGAGCCCAGTGCTTACCAGTTGCGATGTGGGTATCCATATAGGGTAGGGAGACATGGCAGGGCCTGGTAGGTCGTACGGCCACGGGCATAGGTCTGCAGGAACAGCTGCTTGTAGGGTCCGAAGTTTGTTACTCCTACCTGGTCATGGAGCAGCTGAGAGAGACACATTGATCTGCTGAGTAAAAGTTGTCCAGGGCTGTACAAGGGCCACACAGACATTGCTCAGACCCACAGCACCTCTTATTTCATACCCAGAGAAAACAATGCACAAAATGATTCACGAAAGGACACAGAACAAAAGACTGGATCAGAGACAAAAATCCATGGGGAGAAAGGCACAACCTTTTCCCTGGAAACTCCAGGGGAAACTTACTCTCATTGCTGTCTCAAAGGAGCCAGCCAGGATGTGGTCAACAGGGAGCTGAGAATTGTTACACCACACCTACAAGAACAGAAAGAAACGTGTACCAGAGGAATTGTTTATACGCACACATTTGCCTCACCTACCCTCACCACCTCTAACTCCCCCACCAAGTCCCTGTGCTGTGCCCACAGATGAGTGCTAACAAGGACTGAACCTGAAAAAGTGCCAAAGAAGGAAGTTTCTGAGAAAGACAGACAAAGCTTTGTGCTGTTACCTGAGCTGGGCTGGTGCCCTTGGTGGGTGGCACAAAGAATCCATCCTCTGCTGTTCCTGCTGGAGCAGGAACATCCTGGGGGAACAGAGAGAGCAGCGATTAGTGTGGGAGTTTCCAGCACCCAGATGAAATCAGAGCGGGCCACAGTCATGGTGACCATGTCTCTGAAGAAGCCCAGAATACACTTCCACCACCAACCAGCTGTCACTGCCTTCCCAAGTAACGACAACTAGGCTACTTATGAAGCCTCCCAAAAGCTTCCTACCAGTTCAGGGGGAAGATCCAAATCTTCTTCGACTTCCCATCCACCTCCTTCTTCCTGTCCCTTACCTAGACCTTCCTCTCCAAAGCCCTCTCCAGCATCTACGAAGCCATCTGCATGGGGGGGACGGGGGAAATTGTCAGAGCTCTGAGGCAAGCACACACTCACACTTCTGCAAGAAAAACTCTTGGATTCACCCACCTTCATCCAGCTGCAACTCTGCATCTTCTCCCCAGCCTTCCGTGCCAACAGTGTCGATATCGATGTCAGCAGCCAAGGCACCCCCTTTGCCTACAAAGAGTGTAGTGGGCTCCTTCACTTATGCCTCTCTGAGTGGGTCAGGAGTTAAGCAAAGAACTTTAGGCCAGCACCCTCCCATCAAATTGTCCCATTTTGTGCTAAAAAGGCCAAAGATTTGAGAGATTTGCCAAAGATAGTGTAAATGCTGAGCTGTATTCCAACCTCTGGTAGTAACACACAACAAATCTGAGGTTAACAGCAGCAGTTCAGAAGCCACGGAGACAATTATCTCCATTCTGCATTTCCCAGCTTAATGAAGCCTTCCAAGTACAAAGCAATACCTTTGCTAGCAATTGTTCCTTCGAAGAAGCCCTTGGAGACAGTCAGCAGTGGCCAGTTGGTATCCAGAGGCATGACAGGAGCAGGAGGCTGCAGCAGCTTTGCATTGTGATCAATGTCTGGAATCTGAGCAGACAGGCGCAGAAAACAGTTTCAAAAATCCTATTCTTTGACCTACCCGCCTCCACGTGACAGTCTCAAGCCTGGTAAGTGGTGACTGGAGTGGACATGGTTCCTCGCTCTCAGAAAGGAGCTGAGCCAGTCACACTAACACCAGATCCCACTCTCATCTTCTTCCCAAACTCCAGAGCTCTTGTAAGCATTAGGAAGTTTGCTAACCGTTTCCTTTTCTGGATCAAATGTTTCCTTCAGGCTTTCAGCTTCCTCATCCAGACCATGAGTCGCAGCCGTGAGATAGGCCAGGGACTCTGAAACGAGACAAAACTAACATCAGCTCACATTTTTCGTTGCCTAGAGAAAGAAAACATCTCGCCCCAGCACGCACAGCCACACTGTCACAAGGAGAAGATTAGCAGCATGCCAAGATGTGGAAACACACCTTTAGGAGTGTCCCTGGATTTAGGACAAGAATGTGCAGGCGACAACTGTTTGAACACACTCTACAGTTGATTCAGGTCACCTAGATGGTGTTCAAGCTCTCGGGTTACTTCCAGCTCACCTAACTCAGTTTCTCAGGTAAGGGATTATGCTGATCTGCCTGCAAGAATTACTGCTCATCCCACCACTGCTCCAGCTTCTCCCAGCCCACAGGGACATACATCAGTCTGGTAATACTCACTTTGCCCACAGTTCTTCAGGATCCTCACTCTCTCCGCCACGTCTCCTAGATACAAGGCGTTCTGGTAGTGGCCGCTCATATCTTTACGGATCTCGGCTGAAGCGAAAGACAAAAAGTCTCGATAGCTTTGCTGTTCTCAGCCTCCACTGTCATGCTGCTCATTCCCTCCGGGAATGACACTCAGATCCTCTTATGTCATTCTTCTTTGCCACCACCCTGGCACTCACCTATCTTCATCATCTTCCGAAGCTTCTCCAGATTGCCGGTGATGAGATAGAGGAAGGAGAGCCTGTCGAAGTTCTTGGTGCGCTGGTAGCACATCTCCACGATCTGGTGATTTCCCTGCAGCAACGCCACCTCTCCCAGCTTCTCCCAGCAATTCTTGTCATCCAGAGCTTTGGCTGCTTCCAGAGCAATCTAACAAGAGAACTGACATGCTTACAAAGGCTCTGCAGAAAGCAGTTTTCTCTGTAGGCTTCTGTTGATAACGCCTGGGATGGAAAGCATGGGATTACAGGGATCACTGCACTAGATCACACCCCCTGCTGAAGGCCTGCACCTCAGTCAGGCTGCTGTCACCCTCGATTCTATCACACTCAACTAACACTTCTTCCCAACACTAGTCCTCCTTGCAGCACAAGTTGTGAGCGCTGCCCCAGCGGGCCTTTGCGATTCCCCCAGAAGCAATGCCTTTCCCACAGCACCCCCTGCTACCTCACCTCAATGTTGCCACACTCCAGTGCCAGGCTGAAACGCGTCTTCTCGTCCTTGACAAAGTGCAGGGCCACCTCTGGGTAGCCCTTTTTCTGCAGGTAGGCAATGATGGACTGGCCCACAAGCTTTGCATTCCTCACCATGTGCAGCACCTGCAAAGAAAAGGCCGAGGCACCGAAGCTGGCAACCTGCTACCTCTGTCCTAGGGTACAGGCCAAGGAAGAGTGTGGGGTTTCTCACGTCTCCTCACCTCATCATACTTTCTGTTGATCAATGCCAGCTTGAATTTGAATTCTGTGGGATCGATGGTGAGGACCCTGGGGCGGCACTCTCTGTCCAGGCAGTACACATTGTTCCCCTTCACGCGGGTAACGTAGATCGGCAGGTCCAGGGTGCGTATAATTCCGTGATCCCTATGCCAACACACAGCACATATGTGACACGTATGCCAACACATGTTCAGTTTTGGGCCCCTCAATATAAGAAGGACACTGAGGGGCTGGAGCGTGTGCGGAGAAGGGAACGGAGCTGGGGAAGGGTCTGGAGCACAATTCTGTGGGGAGTGGCTGAGGGACCTGGGGCGGGTCAGCCTGGAGAAGAGGAGGCTGAGGGGAGACCTTATTGCTCCCTACAGACCCCTGAAAGGAGGGCGCAGAGGTGGGGGGGTTGGTCTCTTCTCCCACGTGGCAAGGGATAGCACAAGAGGAAACAGCCTTAAATTGTGGCAGGGAAGGTTTAGATTAGATACTGGAAAAAATTTCTTCCCGGAAAGGGCTGTCAGGCCCTGGAAGGGGCTGCCCAGTGAGGTGGTGGAGTCACCATCCTGGGAAGGATTTAAAAGACGTGTGTGGATGAGGCACTTAGGGACATGGTTTAGCGGTGCTATGAGCAGTGCAGTAACAGTTTGGCTTCATGATCATGGTCTCTTCCAACCAAAAAGATTCCATGATTCTACATCTGCATGACTGCATTTCCCTACCTCAAAGGAGGCTCAGCACTCTGTGTGTTATTTTAGCCTGCAGTATGAAAGCAAGCCACAGAAAGACAGTGCAGCCATCCAGCCCAGTGATAAAATACCAGTGCACGGGGTAAGCAACCAAACACAAGTACTTCACTCCAGCTATCTTTGGCTACGTCCACGCCATAATAAAAGTGCCGTTTCACAAGCACCAGCTTTGTTATCTGCCAAAACGCCACAGCAGTCTGCACAAGGCCTCCCAGTTGAAGGACGCGGCGCACGACCCCAGACTCACCCCGTGGTGACCGCGTATTTGATGTGGTTGCTGGTGGTATAGATGAAAACGCCACTTTCATCCCAGGCACCGCCCTTGACACGGATGTTTTCATGGATGTTACACAGCGACTCCAGCTTTCTGTTGCAGATCATGATGGCTGGAGAGAAGTAGTAAGGTGAGGGGACCCTCTACTGTTAAACATCTGCCTCTGACTGATGGCTTCTCTCTTCCACAGTCCCAGCAAGAAGACTGTGGAGTGTCAGACTAAGGAGATGATGGCAACCACAACTAAATTGTTACCATTCCCCTTAGTTTTATGAAAGGGATTAGCTGGATCACTTTGAGGAGTACAAGAAGCCCTCTGTTTTACAAGCGTACTGAAAGGTTTTGCTGAAGAGACAAAGTGGCAGGGCCCACACTGCGAATGTCTTTAGCTGCACTTTCACTGCTAGCCATGGCACTGAATGGTTTCTCCTGCAGGCCATGCTAGCAGGACTCTGCTCCCAGCCAAGAAAGGAGCTAGGGCGGAAGGAGCCAGGTGAAACACCACATGCCGTCACTGCTTACCATGCTTAGCCAGCAGAGCCACATGGGACATGTCAGCTGACCAGATGACATATTTCACCTTGGAGATCTTCACCGAGGCCAGAGTTCTGGGAAAGGACAGCACGGCCATCAGAGCTTGAACAATACCCACCCCAGCAAGCTCTGTGATCAAGCTCTGTATGATAACGATCACTGCCTGACAACCTGAACCCAATTAATTGCTCATGCTCTGAAGCCCCTTTTTGCCATTCTGGATCTATAAAATCACGAGGCAGAAGCGAGCGTCTCTGCAGTCCAGTACAGCGAAACAAACCTCTCTCCAAACCTGTGCAACAGGAAATATCTGAGTGACAACTGATGTCAAAACCTAGATTTCTGAGGGGGTTTTAGTGACAGACTTAACAGAACAAGGGAAATAAGGTATTTCCAAGCAGCATTCGCAGTGTTCAATTTACGTGTAACTCCCAACGATACTAAAAAGCCGAAGAAGCGAGGCGAGCTCTGGGACATACGCAATCAACATACACCATATCTATCTGCAGATAATCCAGACCCTTCTCAAGCCTACAGAGATGGCCAAAAGCACAGACTCCTTGCCTGTTTCTTTGTGGCTAGCAACACATACACCAGCACAAACGTGCTGCCAAAAGAGCATTTTGAGCAGATACAAAACCTGAGGGACAAGGCATCAGGCAAGGTTAGCTTAATTGAGTTTGGGTTTTTTTGATTTCTCTCCACTTTTATAGCCCCCGATTCCGTAGTCGCAGGATTTACAAGGGTATGGCACACATCTCCCTGTGATCAATGGCACGATGCCTGCAGCATAAATTGCACCTTGGCTATGTTTACACTCTGCTCTTCGTAACAGTTGTTAGCCGTGGTTTGGATCAGTCTGACACAGCCTGCAGCTGATGCTAAATTCTGGAGTGCATTAATAGCTATTACTTGTCTCCAGAGGGCAGGCGCCAGCAGGATTACAATATTAAAACTTCTCCCAGCAGACTGGATCTTACCGCTTCTGCTGCACATCAAAGAGGGTGATGGAGTCTGCATCTCTCAGTAACAGGTTCCCTGTGCCAGCATAGAAAATCTCATCACAGTTCGGCACCTGAACCTTCTTTGTGATCTCATTCTTCAGGTTTTTGATTAGGATCTGCCATGTGATGAGAGGAAATGGAACAGCACAGGACAGTTAGGTAGATTCTACAAAGAAATTCAGAATTCTTTCAACTCACAATTTTTGTATAGCTGAACCTCAGTGACAAGAGGCCAAAATAAGAGTTACAGCCTTCCTCAAAGCAGGAAAAGACTTTATCCTGCTAGAAAACCCAACCTCAAGTTTGCCAAGGTACAGACACAGCGTATACTCTTTTCGGCCCCTCTGCTGTCATTATTCACTGGCTGATACAACTTGCAAACCCTCTCTACTGTAAGTACGTGAACAACGTAAAGCTCAGGGAGAAATGAGAGGGAACACAGTGTAGACAGAAAAAGGAAACAAGGAAGTTGAGAGGGGAGAACAGCAAGTGGAGAAGGGGAAGGCTGTGAGGAGTAACCAAACAGGCATGAAATAAACTTGAATTTACTAAGCAAAAAACTACAATGAATTAAAAAATATAAAAATAAAGGAAAAAGAAGAAAAAATACAGTATCTTGCATGGGGCCAAGAGCAAGATTTTCTTCCCCTTCACATCAACTACATTCAAAGCAGGGAAAACTTCCCATGACTCTTCTTTCCCCCTTCTTCCTCCTACTGTTCTCACTGCACAAGTGAAAACAAAGAACTTTCTTAACTCTAACCTGTATTTTCACCATTTCCCCATTACTTTAACGCTGTGAAAGTGACCTGGTGGCTTCGCAGTCCTGTTCTGGTGAGCTATCGTTCCTGAGCTCGCCTGCCGTAGCAGGCTTCCAGCAACTGACCTGAGATTTACTCTACAAGAAGTTAAATAATATTTCAACCCATTATATTTTCAGTGTATTATATTTCTTTGTGTACCTCTGCAGCCCACTCTGACAATGCTTTGCCAGTCTAATTGGATCTCCACTCATTCTGTTAACCCAATCTCCCTGCTTTCCATCTGCATGCTTCCAAACGACAACACACCCCGTTAAAAAGATGACCCTATTAAGCTTGTCCCCTTACCGAGTGCATGCGATCCAGGACTGCAAAGCGGTTACGAGCTACCCACACAGCTGTTAGCCCGGAGGAACGCTTCCCTTCAGGGGCTGGAGAGAGCAAAACGCAGGCAGTCAATAAAACCTCTGGCAGGCTTTTACGGCAACACATTAGTCTGTCTTGTTTGATCCCTTCTTGGCTGTTGTGGCTGCTTCCTCCTAATGCGTGTTTAACCTGAGGCTGTTCACAAGACTCGTTTCCTCCCCCCGATGTCCTTTCAGATCTCCGTGCGGCCAGTGCCAGCCCTTCTCTCCAGCCAAGGCATCAGACAAGTGGCTGGCTGTACCACTTGTAACACCACTGCTTGGCACTGAAACGGGCCATCCCGGGCGACAGCGCCGTCTGTCAAGCTAACGAGCAGAGCCTTGCTGGCCAAACAAACCAAGCAGCGAGGGTCCCGGCTTCCATGGAGGCTCCCCCCTTCTCCCTCCCCCCTGCAAACTGATATAACGAGCGAGGAGAAAGGCTGCACTCTCCCCAGCACACAGCTGTTCTCCCAGCTTTAAAATGCTAATACAAACACTGCGCTCTGCATGTCAGGCACACAGAAAGGACAGGCCACGGGATGCGCATCAGATGAGGAGAAGGCTTTATGCAGCAGCAGAAGGGAAGAGAGAAGTAAAGTGAGAGAGCTGCTGCTGCTTTGGTAAAATAAAATTTTGTTTCGCTCTCAGCCCCTTTTCTCACCAGTCCTGCTGCTCAACATTTCTGGAGACTCGCGCACTAGACCAAGTGTTACTTCACCAAGCACAGTGCTATTTGTGCCAGATATAACAAATGATGACTTAAACCTGACTGCCTCAGCCCTCATTTACTAACCAACACGATACAGACTTGTCTGAATGCAATTCCCAGCTCTGCTTGGGGTTTTCTGATGGCAACTTCACCTGGTTTTCTGAATCTCCAGAACTCCACGTTTTTCCTGGCTCTAAGTCTTTAACAGACTGTAAATCAGGCAAAAAATGACTGAAATACATTACCCAGAAGACTGTTTAAGTGTGATAAGAAAGCTTATCTTCCCTGGCAGGGTACATAAGCTGAAGGACATGATGACAACTCCAAGGCACATGTTAAATACCTACATTACAGTCCTGGGGGGTCATCAGAAGGTTGCATATCCAGCAGCTTGGTGGAGAAGATACTTACCAACGTATGAAATGCAGGGCTTTCGTGAGCCCTAGAGACTTCTTCCTCTAGAAGAACACCTTTCCTCATTTGAAGGGTCACAAGCTGGGTGTCCCCAGACAAGTCAGCTTTGAACATCTCAATGAAACGACGTCTTTGAAATCTACTCAGTAACGTTTAATATAGATAGTTACTAGAACACTCCCTTTCTCTTTCTCTCTCCAAACACACCTGCTGACTGGACTCAGCAAAGAAATCCTCCCTTCATTAGACCTGCAGAAATCAATAAATCTACGAACAAGTGAGCTGGATTCCAGTCTAACTCATTCACCACTCCCACTCATTTCAAAGTCTTTACTGCTGTGACAACAGAGGCAGGAGGAACCAGCTGGAGTTTCAGATCCCAAATGGAATTCATAGTTAGGAGAAAGGATTATTTTTTTTTTCCCTAAATCATGTTTTGACTTGTAAATTGCACAAAACTGATGTGGAATTTGCCGAGAGGAAGAATGACTACTGGCACCCTGGCACTGTCACTTTTACAGCCACTTTTCAGAACATAAAATCTCTTAGAACAAAACATATCTGGTTAAAATCCATCACTGTTGACAAGCCAGGAAGGCTGCCTGCTGCGTCAAAAGGGAAAGCGAAAAGTTCCTAATAACAAAATTATAAAATATATATTTGTAGCAGTAAAAGTTTGGGATGAACATGAATTTTTCACGTCAGTGTAGCGTGACATAGTGAGCAGGAAGCCTGCCAAATGACGCGTGCTGCAGCAGCCCTGGGAAACATGGAGAAAGAGTCCAACAAGACAGGCATAGAGAAATAAAGCTTTTTCATATGTAACACACAGCCCGTTGGAGAGCAGAGGGGACAGCTACACAAGGATCAGTGTGAAATAAGAAATGCTTACCGTCCGGATTCTGGGAGTCTGCATCCTTGGGAATGGTGTATAGGTCATAAGTGCTATTCTCTAGGTTGCTGGCTCTCTGCAGAGAAGGGGAAAAACCCATTCTGAGGTAGGATTTCACAGAACCGACATTCACAGCTGCATGGAAAGTTCTGAAGCACATTATGCAGCAAAACTGACTTACTGTGCAGAGAAGGACAGCATTCTCAGCTGGGTTGTATGACATGTTGAACACGGGGAACTTGGAACCACTGAAGAAGAGCCATGAAGAAAAGAGAAAGTTAGAGTGGACCAACGTTATTTCTACCAAAGTCACCTTCTGATAAACGTTCTTCATTTTCTGAAATACACTGAGTACCAGAAAAGTGCTGTTTTGAATAATTTCTTGAATCAAAACCACTTGGAAACACTGTAAGAACATCAGGAACATCAGCACTTCATAAATGAAAGAGCTAGAATTTCAGTTTGAAACTTAAAACCAGTTAAAAAGAATTTATATCTATAAAAATTGACCTAAAAAACTCATTGTAGGCTTCGTGAGTTCATCTGACAGACGAGCCAGTCAAAGCTGAGGCATGTGAATGCAACAATACAACCTATCCATAAGCGAAAAACTACCAGGGGATTCAGGATACCGGCAACACCTCTTGTAGCATGATGAGGTAACCCCTACCTTCGCAGCTGCATGACAGCAACGTCCTTTGAACTGTTGAAATCAAGCTGGCGGAGGAAACGGTCCTTCACATAATACAGCATGTTCCCGTGCACAGCGTAAGCCGGCCGCTCGCGCTCCAGTTTGAACACGATCATGCCACCGTCATGGCCTGAGAAAAGGCAGGCGAGAGCTCAGCCTTAAGAAAAAGCCCGGGATCTAACCCACACGATGAAGGTGACACTACCAAGCCTTTCCAACCAAGCAAGGAGCCAACAGAAATCATAACCAGTGACTGCCAGCCACGTCCGCTACTCCTCAGCCTGACTGAATTAAGCGATTCTGCTTCTTTCCTTAGGGCCCACCCCCCTTTTAGGTTTCCTAATAAATCCAGGATCTAACACTCTTCTAGAAACACTCTGCCTCGCTGTCACGCATTTCTTCAGGTGCTAATAGTCCTGCATGGGTTCCCCTAGGATCTGTCCCATCCCTTCTCAGCCTTAGAGCATTCAGCTCATTAATGCAGAGGCTATCTTGTTCTAGCTTTGAACTGCAGCTGATATAATGATTCTGTTCCACTACATAAGGATCTTTTCCCTACGATACATTTAATAAAAGCATCTGCAAGTCAGTGTGTACTGCAAAGTGAGCTATAGAAAAGCAAATCCTGGATGGATTCCCTATATGGAATATATCTTCTTGTCACAGCAACCTGCCAGACACTGAGTAGAAGCTTTTTTTACCTGCAGCAAAGAGATTGAGGTTGGGATGAGCAGCCAATACCCAAAAGCGATCATGATCACGCCGGAAGGTCTGGACACCCGTGCTAAATGTACAACAGAAGGAATAAGGAATAGAAACAAAATGGAAAACTTGGTATAAACTTGAGATCCCAAAACTAAGATCCTAAGTTTTGCCATACTGACTGTCTCTAGCATTCAGCACACGGAGTCCACTGAGAGGTCAAAACATGGATTCAAAGCCTTCTGCTAAGTAACATATTCTCATTTAAGTATTTGCAGCATCCCTAAACAAGTCAGCCCTCTTCTGCTTGCTTTGAGACAAGCACAAGCCTCACTCATTACATGTCTCAAAAGGACAAACAAGGCGAAAACTCACTCACAAATTATCAAACACTAGCGCTGACATTTTAAGAACTACGAGTGTTCAGTCTCTCTAAGAGTAACTGTAGGGCTTTCATACGGGTAGGAACTTTCATAACAAACTTAAGTCAGGTGCTTGACAAGCTCTAACCGTTTAGACATATCCCAGACACGGATGCTCTTGTCTTCCGAATTGCTGAGGATGAGCTCCTGCCGTGGGTGAAAGACAGCACACGAGACGTTGTTGTAATGCCCCCGGCAAGTGTCAACCTCCCAGGCCTTTGATTCTAACCAGAAGTGATAAAGAATAAGGAAAATAACAGTTAAACTCTGCCACAGCAGAACCACTACAAGCACTTTATTATAAAATGAACTGCATCAGTCATTAGTTACTACGTTGTTCTCTGCAGTTTGCATTTACGATCCCTCTGCAACCACTGCACAGCTCACCTAACCGAAACAGATAAGCCAGACTACTAACGAGGCGCTAAGAACTGTACGCAGTTTAGCTGGACTGAGCTGAGAAAAGCACAGCTATTCCTGACAGAGGGCTTCTGGCTCTCGAATCATCTTCCCTTCTCATTCCATCAGTGCATATTCAAAAAAACATCAGAGTCAAGTTTTTCGACTCCTACAAGCTTCTGCTCAGCAGCTTGCACAAATCAAAAGAAGCTAGAAGTGTTTGCTATGGACCTGAGCTCTCCTCAAAGTGCAAAAGCCAATGCTGCTTGGGATTATTCATCACTCCAGCAGACGGACATGTTTGTAAAGTGTAAATTACCCCCAGGTTCAGCCTACGATGTTCAAACACAAATTTCAACTCTCAGCCCCCTTCTCCCTGTGGGCTCACCCTGGAGAACCCTCTTACCGTTCATCCGCCAGATCTTCACTTGCCGATCATCGGCTCCCGACACAATAAGCGGCATTGTAGGGTGGAAGGCAGCCCAGTTCACCCCACGATCATGGCCCTACAGGCAAAAAGAGTCACTTGAAGCAATTTGGTGACTGCATGGCATGAGGAGGGGGAGCAGGAAGCAAAGACTGCAGACAGGCTTGCCAAGACACAGCTTTCACTGTTTCTATACACCATGCTGCTCATACCAAATGCTTCCATACAGTTAGATTACACAGATTATAGATGCCCACAATAATAAGCTTTGCAGATACCATTCTTCACCAGTGGAGCAAAGCTGAAGCTTGAAAGCAGAGCAACACCACTTCCAAGCTTTAACAAGCTGCTACAGAAGGGTGTCTCTCCCATAATCTCCTCTGTTACTTCCAGTAACACAAGGTAGTAACATCTGCTCCTAACTGAGCTTGTGGCTGTGCCGACAACACCCTGTTTGATTACAGTGCAAACATCTTCAGACTTCACATTTTGAAGTCAGAAAAATTCATGCCATAATCTACATGAGCATGTAACTCTACAGCTGAGTCAGATGCTTCAACTCTTTTTTCCTCTGACATTTTTTCTGGGCTTTTAGAGGATCGTTTGAGTCACAAGGATTTCACTAAATAAATCTGAAAAGGCTGCACAGCGCACACACATTGACACCGTACCTCAAGAACGTGCTTCACAACCGCATCTGTTGTCCCAAACAAATCCACCCCCGTTATTCCTCTGACATCTGATTCCACAGCTCCAGGGGACAGGTTCTTCTTCCTTAGGCCTTGTGGAACAAAGAGGAGGGACGAGCAGGGGTGGAGGAAGCAAAAATTATATTATCAAGCACTGGTTCTAATTTAACAAGTTCAGCTCTATCCTGTGCTGTTTACACACATCTTCAGGTGGAAACTGGGACCCTGAAAGAGGGTGACAAAATACCCAGGACTCCCTTTCCCTAACCCTTCCCAGATCAGACAGACCAGAAGGAAAGTCTGCAATGCAGCAAAGGCTCACTCAGCTTGCTGGGACATAGACAGTGGCACCTTGGCAAAGCAGAACTGACATTCCGATTTCTCCCCCTCTCCCCGCTTTGCTGATCTGAGCTTGCACCTTTCAGGGGACTTTCTCCCATGCCACTTTGATGACCTCTTGTTTATGGATTTGGACAATCTGCCCGGACAAAAAATATTTTCAGGAGCTAAATTTATCGAAAATAAAGCCTGTTCCCGATTCTGAAGAAAACCTAAGTCATCCAAGTTAGCACAGACCTGTATCTGTATCTTCATTAAAACCCAATGGAACCCAGTGGGGAAACTGAGAATCGAAATAAAGCTTCTCCTCCAGCAGTGCACAGGGAAAAGACTATACATGTAACACTCTAAAACAAAACTCAGAAAACATGCTTTTCCATTTATAGGCCCAAAGATGCTGCCATGAAACATACTAAGGACAGGAAAGAGCCGTCTAGGATAAAAGCAGAATTGCATTGGTATGGATGCCAACGGCTAGGGAAGCGTAAGAAGAAAACCAACAATACTGAAGACAAAAAGTATTCTTTTCTTGTTGCAACTCTGATTCCCAAACTCATGGGATACCATGGATTAACAGCTCAACATCTCAACCACATCTCTGGCAAAGTTCGTGTAACGAAACCAAGGGGTCAAGCAGGGTCTCACAGCAAAGCACATGCGCTCAGCACACCGAGCGAGGTGCACATGCAGATGGTCATGCAGACACTTCCAGAGCTTCCCAGGAAGGAGGAATGAAACATACTTAATCCAAGAAAGACAAGTGAAGGAACACAAGAGAGTTTTGGAGGAGAAAATACTTGAGCCTGTGACAAGCCAGTGAAACAGGACTGGGACACAAGTGGAAGATTTCTGGAGTAAGTGCACAAATCAAGAGGAAAGGGAGGACACTCACAGAACACACCAGCCTCCTGTGTTGCTCTGGGGAGGGAGCAGGGACAGAAAAGGGACTTGGAGCAGAAAGGCAGGTATTAGACATACCGAGGACAGCTGTTGAAGAAAAACCCTGAAAAGGAGACTCAGCTCAACATGCACACAAGCACTCAGAACAGGTAATAAAATAGCCAGAGTAAGGAGACAACATGCTCACTGTGAGTGACAAGGTCTAAGTTAGGAGCAAAGAAGGAGACAGATGGTCCTTTGCACATTCTTTTGCTCTATTCCCTTCTCCAATGGGCTAAAGAGGGCTCTTAGGGTCAGACTCTCTCATTGCTGGGCTTCCTGTCCCCGAAACCCATCCACGTTCAGCCCGCAGTTAGAGACGTGCAGCGGAGGCTGAATTGTAGCAAAGGTTTTGCCAGTCATCAACATACATCCACTGAGGGTGCTCAGGGAGAGGCAGTCTATCCCCACTTGCTACCTGGGGACTCTCAGCTCAGGCCCTCCCAGTCCCAGGGCTTCCCAGTGTTGCCAGCCCAAACCCTCAGGTGATCCAAAGCGACTGACAGAACAAGGAAGTTTCCTGCCAAGCATCAGACATCGACGTTTGCCAGCTACGAGTAAGGTTAAACAGGAGCTGGTGTGTGATGTCAGAGCACACGCAGAAGCGCTCTGATTAGGGTAAGACCACTAACACCCTCCACAGGGGTTAATGCGTACAGACAGAGAAAAACAGATTATTTTGTGGTTTCTGCAGGTTAGTATCAGCATCACAAGCAAGGGCTTCATTCCATAGCAAGGTGAATGATAAAACACAAACCTTCATGCACTTTATATCTAAACAAGCTTATTCTGACTGCATTCACACAGTTTCTCTCAGGAGATGAGCAGGAAACAGACCCTTTAACCTTGGGTGTACTTGTTTTGCACTGCAGATCCTTCACCAGAAGGTTTCAAACCAAGGAGCACTAACTATATAGGGATTCAAAACTATGGGGCCAGTGTCGCATTGCCCAGCCTGGGCCATGCTCCTCCTCCCTCACACACTCTGCTGAGGCTGCCAACAGAGCTGACAGCTTTGGGAGGAATATTTTGGACTGCAACCTTTAAACTTATTTAACTAAGGGCATCCAAGAAACAGTGCACATAATCCCCAGATCTGCTGAAAAAAAAAATTCTGATGTCAGCAGAAGCTGCAAGTTAACAGCAGCACTTGGAAATGGAGTTAAAGCTCAACACCAAATGATGCTCTCTCTGACTGGGATTATGTGCACAACAGACATCAGGCAAAATGGGGCAACAACCCTTCCCAGGACACAGCTAGAGCCAGAACAGAATCCTGCTAAGGACAGAAGTCATTTTGGGAAAAACTTGGGAGCTGAATTGTATTTTTGAATCTGTTTGTCATCTCTCTGTAGGCTTTTCCACACACTAGTATTCTCACAGTGTCGTGTCTGACTGGAGCGACAGCTGAGTCAATAATTCAGCATATCTCTAAAACCCCTCATCACATATCAACTGAGAAAAAAAGGCCTGTACTATCTCCAAACCAATTTGGCAGCTGGAACTCTGCTGAGAGAGAGTGTTTGTGGGAGAATGCAGCAGCAAAGCTTACTGGCAGAAGAGCTGTTAAACTCCCCAGGCTGGCAGTACAGAGAGGGGGACAGGTTTTAAATAACCAGGATACCCTGTCCCCAGCCCCTGCTGTTGACACAGCTGGCCATGTCCGAGCGCGTACCACACGTAATGCAGCGTGCCCAACCAGAACTGCAACGGCGAGAGCAGCAGGCCTGTCTCTAGAGCAGTTTATGGTGTAACACCACCAGAACTGTCCCCACCGGCCTCCCACCGGTCCCTTAGGTCCATCTAATACTGTCTTTGCTTCCAGCTTTTCATTTAGGGATCCTATCTCATTCCAGAAAGTCACCCTCTGACCTAGATACAATAAGAAATATCAGCAAAGTACTCTGGAGTTTCGACTTGCAAATCCTGCTCTGATCTTCAGGTCACGCTTCATTTTAAGAACAAACAGACTGAAAAGGTTGAAAGAACTCCTAATAATATTATCTTCCTGTCATCACCCACAACTAGGCTACCAAAAAAAACCCCACAAACCAAAAGCCTACTCTTTTTGCAATCCAGACAGAGGCTTTTTAATCTTTCTCTCAGAATTAATGACTTATTGTTGCCCCCAAGAGTTTTTCAAGGGGATAAAGGTGATCTAGAAATTTCTAAAATCCTCCTACAAGCCTGGCACACCTGCAGAGCTGATCAGCTGACAACACTCTGTTCCTTCTGAAAGCAATGCTCGTCGCCTGTGTTGGCTACATAATCAGACTGCAAGATTAGGTTGCAGATTCTCCATCTTCAGAGGTTTTGGCTGCACAAAGCTACAACTCACATCACCTACTGTCGCAGAAGACCTGCTTCACGCTAAAAGGTGGACTAGATGACGCCCTGAGGTCCCTTCCAGCCAACATCCTTTGGCTTCACAGAAACTGAGGGGAATACGCTCCCATCAGTAGAGCATTTTCTGCCTGAAGCTCCTGCAGTCCACAGGCTACTCTTGCTGCTCTCTTTCCTGCCTCACTTGGCTTTCAGCCATTGCAGTTCTGAAGTGGGCTTTGTCACTGGGCACCCCCTTGATCTGGGCAGCTCACCAGAAATATCCCAAACGCGCACGGTCTGATCCAAGCTGGCCGACACTACCAGGTCCTCAGAGGGATGAAACTGGGCACACATCACATAGTGGTTGTGTCCTGTCAGCACACTACAACAAAAAGGACAGAAAATGCCATTTAAACATACGTTATATTAAAACACATCCCAATTTGCACCAACTGCAATAAGCTCAGTCTTGGGAAGGATAATGAGGATTACAGGACTGCTAAATGCTTCAAGAGTTAGCACAACTGAACACTGAGCACATCTGCTTGTACAGAGAGCATTCAGGGACTTTCTGATACCAATAACTTCACGGGCTTTGGCACTGACATGGATTATTTTAACCTCAAAACACGTTCAACCAAGCAACATGTGAATTTATGAATACAAGTCTAGTGGCATCAGAGGAAAAGACAAGGCTGACAGAAATATTCACAACTGAGCAGTTCTGTGTCAGTTCTATCCCTCAACTAAGCACAGCTTCCTCTTGAAAACAACCAATGAAGACAGCTCACCCCCAAACAGTGCAGTTATCTAAAAAGCACTTATCAATTTTACCAAACACAAGTTCTGGACTGCCAGTTCCAAACCCGAATGGTCTGGTCATCAGAAGCACTCAAGATCCAGGGATATTCCTAAAAGGACAAAGTATTCTGTATATGAAGTAATACACATGCCAGACATTCCCTCCCCACATGGTGTTTTCCAACTGTCCCCAGGAATGACCCTTTTTAGATCTTATTTAAGATCTTGGAGTCAGAATTTATGCCTCTTGCACCTCTCAGGCCAACAGGACTGAAGCATCCTCACACTACCACATGCAGCAAAATTTCTTTAGCCAAGATTCCCATCCAGGGAAGCAAAAGACAGACTCCCTATCACACACAAGGGGAGCGGGCACTGGGACAAATACAGGAGGAGCTTACGTGGTGGAAGAAGGTAGTGCGAATATAATCCAAGTGCCCAAGCAGAGTGAAGAGACAGCGGCGCAATTTGTAATTCCAGACCTGCACAACACAGAAGCACAAAAACAATGGCACGTGCCACCACCTGCTAGATTTTTTGTGTGCGTTCTCACATTTCAGCTCACCTACAAGCCTTTCTCTTGCATTTTAAAAAGTGTTTCTAATGCAAGCCAGAACTAGACTTTAACTCGTTTGCAATTAACTCTGATGTCCCCAAAACAAGACAATCACAATTCCCAACACTATTTCCCTCCCATAGATGCTCTTTCTCATCTCTTAAGAGCTTCTTTGCAAATTCCCTTCCCTGGATGATGCCTTCTAGAGAACAAGAGCTAAAGGGGTAAAAGTTTTACCTTTATTTTGTAATCATCACCTCCAGAAACAAACAGAGGCTGCTGTTTGTGGAAATCAATACCTCGAACGGGTCCTACAAATGGGAAGACACAGCAAGATGGCTGCAGCAGTCCCTAGTACTGCTTCAAGACTACAATTTGCATTCCTCCTCGCTCCTGTTGCTATTGATAAATTAAGCACTTCAAGGCAACAAAGTCGTGTAACAGTCTGAGAACCCACCCCCAAACCTCTTCCTTTCCATCCAGATGCCTCCAGCCACCCACCACAAAACATCCAGACCCTTCAGAGCTGTACTTTCAGGTTGGTTTTTCAGACCAGAAACAAAACTACGACCCCACTTTATATGCATGCAAGCAATGCTCAGAGTCACAAAGAAACAGACTAAAATAGAGAGGATCTTAAACAAGCAAAAGGCTCAGCAGCACTTTAGCAAAGCCTCCTTTCCTCCTCTCGCATCCCAGCCTTCCTTCACAAGCAGGACCCAACACCTCCCCCAGCACACTGACCATCGTGCTCATCGAATTTGTCGATAAGGGTGCACATCCGATAATCCCACAGCTGGATGACGCCATTGTGTAGGCTGGTGAGGATCCACGGCCGCTTGGGGTGAAAGCTGAGCCCTGCCGAGGCACAGAAAGACGTGACAGCGAGGCCTCCGCACACTTAAAGCCCAGAGGCCTGGAGCAGCCCTGGGGGAGCCGGCGTCCCCCCCGATTCAGGGACCCCAGGGACGAGCGGGAGCTCCCGGCA